CTGATTATCAATTACAGCACAACCAGTTTTGGGAGAGATGAAGCAGGGTGAGTCACGGCATCTTGAGCACCAATGTATCTGAAGGGAATAAGAAAAGCTTTTTAGGGATAAACAAAGGACAGCCAATTTTTGCCTAAAGTAAGAAAGGACAGAATTTCAACATGTATATTCCTTCCAGTAAGTCAAAACATGAAAATTAAAATCCTTGAAATATTTTTAGAAGTTTCAGGCTTTGGTGAAGAATTATGATCCCTGTTAGAGGCTTAGCACTAAGAATCTCATTCTAATATATCTGCATGCTTTTCAAAACAGACTTTTCACCTTTATCTCTCTTCCCTTTCCTGCTATTACATATGGACTACAAGGAGTCATTGTTTAATTCCAATTTTCTAATGTCTTAGAGAACACTGAGACAAGCTTTGTGGATAATGCCTTAATTATAAATATTTTAGCTAAATCTCTTCCCCTAATCCCCTTGAATTCCTGGGGATTTTATAATTTTTCCCAGTGGGTACATCTCTTGGCCACTTTTGTGCCAATATTTCTGAGCCATTATAATGCATACTACAATGTTTCAATGCAAATTAGCAAAGGCAACTCTCTACAGCAAAACTGAAAAATTAAAAACAAAAAATACAAGCTGCCGTAAAATACCGTCCAATGGCTAGAGAAGTATGAGAGGACTGGAAGGTTCTGCACTGAGAATACTAAGATATTTAGATTTTAGGAAACAGTCAAGGAATATATCCTGAAAGCATTGTACAATATCTAAAGCTTATACTCAGACTTTCTTTCTGGGAATGTGTCCACAGATAACCCTAGGAATATATCCAACAGGATTTGTTTGGTCTCTTATCTTAGCAGAACAAAATGCTATTGCTCACATACAGAGAAAGATCTACCCCTGGCAAGTCTCTGAATGGATCTTGGGTATCTGGCATATAAAGTGCCATACAGGTGGCTTCTACAGCTGAGGCTGTGAATACAGACATATGTCTACATTGCAGTCACTATGACTTCAGCATAGTGTACACCTGTGCTTCTCTAGCAGGGTGGTCTGAGATTCTTTTAACAGTGCTGTGTAAAAACACTGTTCTGTGTGCAAACATCTACGTGATTCACAAATAATCCTTGAGATTCCATGGAGGAATCCACAGTGTCAAAATGATTCTGACCTGTTGGGATCTTTCCAAGTTGTTTGCAACAAAAGAATTGTTATATTTCTGTAGTTAAACAACAAATGACAACTAAGCGCTGGCATTTTCCAAGGGGTGCCTTGAGTCTACACAGGTTGAAAACCACTGATGTAGACATATCAGAGCTTGTTTTAAAACTAGCCAGCTGCAGTTCCATGAGTAGTCTAGCTGCGGCAGCATGCAAATCAGCACGGACTGTAAAACCCACTCAAGAAACTGGATGTTTAGGCAGTAGGGCATCTAGCCTGTTTAGTGCTGCTGTGGCTGCAGTGCTAGCAATACACAAGATAGCAAGTTTAAAGCTAGCATGGCTTTCTCTACATGACAGGCAGTCATGGTAATAATGACTCTTCTATGTAGTGAATCCAGCAAATCCTGTGTAGAGGCCCCATAATCCCCAGTCCTGCAAATATTTACACAGGGGTTTCATTTTAAATCCTGTCTGTGAAGTGAATGGGGAAGATTCTATTGAAATAGCATGTGATGTGGTAAGGCCTCATAACCTATAGTAATGCTGTAGAATTAAGGCTCCTGGGGCAACCTAGATTCTGACATTTCCTAATTTTTAAGAACTTGACTTTGCAACAGTCACAGTGTTCTTTCAGCTTGGCTTTTTTAACGGAATGATCTCAAGCAATCACCTTCCAAACAATGAGCCTAAACTTAACTAGCTTTTTAAAAATGAGAGAATGTCAGACATTAAAAAAGAAAATTTGTGGGGCCTCATCAGCAGTTTGTTACATTTAAGTGATTTAACTGGAAATATGGAGAAAAACCGAGGGATTAAAACACTAGGTTCCTTGGAATCGGAGGTGGGGCAAACCCTGGTCGGATTTGTGTGAATTGTGGAAGTCATACATTTTCCTACCTTTTTTATTACTATTAGCAAAGCTTCTGGCCTCACCTTACCTGCAGAGATGTGGCCAATATGGATTTTAGTGCCCTACTAGCCACAGGCTGACAACCTGTGGCCCCATGGGAGGCAAGACCAATGAGGGGAACTGAGCCATCAAATAGGGCTCCAGTTGTGACTGCTAAAACGGAAGCGGGGGTAGCTCCATTAGGAATATCTATGATAGCAATAGTGTTGGACACAGCTGCAAAAGGCTGTGGACTGGTGACTGCATGTCATCCAGGCATTAAATAACCAAGTGGAGGATGCCCTTTGGCAAGGTCAGAGCATGTACTGCAATTCATGGCTGAGTCCAGTATCAAGCAGAAGTATCTGCAGGGAAAACCAGGAGAGAATTCCTGCATGTGGTCCTGCAGAGATTTGTGACAGAAATTGCTTGCAAGTGACAGGGGGAATAAAAGGAGCAATTTCTGGTAGTAGAACCACTGATTCGGCCACAAGGAGAAAGTGGCAAGTAGTCAGAAACCAGGCCTTTCTGGTATGGGGCAGAAAGAACAATCTCTCTTAGGAGTAACAGTAGGGTGGTCTCTATTTTGGGACTTCCAGCATATTCCCCAGCCTGAACAGATGCAGCAGGAAAGCAGCAATGCAGGAATAGGCAAATGAGTTTGGATTGCCCTGAGGAACAAAGGAAGGCTCAAAAAGCCATACAAATCTCACTGGTTCAGATTTATTACACCAGTAGCACTTGCCCTTTCTACTGGAAAAACTGTTGGTAATTTCTCTGCAACACAGGAAGAGTAGCAGTAATATTAATGTGGGGGAAACAGGGAGCTTAGTGGGTTAAGTATGATGAAATAAATGCAAAAGTGTTTCAGTTGGAAAGCTCCAGTAAAATGATTGATTACTTCTGCTTTAGGTTAAACTACTGCTGCACTGTGTAAACTCCTCCTCCTATATCTTTTTTGGAAGTCACAAAAAGACAAAATCAGGATGGGTTGAAAGAGAAGACCTGGATTCTGAAAGAAGTAATACATTCAGTTCATTTTTCTCATTCAGGCTTGCAAGTCTCATGCTGGGATTCTAACAGCAGTGAAATCCCAATGACAGATTGTATAGTACATTTTTAATGAATTTTTCAAACTAAGCCTATGTCATCTAAGACCTGTCCTGCTTGTACTACCTGGTAAATGTATAAATCTGTGGCCAGCTTGCTGGCTTGCACACTTGTTTACAAGACATACTAAAAAGCCCAATAAATTAAGAAGTGCTAGTTGAGCTTTGATTTCTCCCAGTAGAGTTTGGTATTTCTTTTGCTTTAATACAATAGTTATTTAAAAATTCAGCAGTTTAAATAATTTCTAGCTTTTAACTGTTGAGCAATTCAGAACAAAGATGCACTAGGAGCAAATAACCTGATGAAAGGATTCTTCTAGGAATCCTTGGAGCTGGGTCTTCTAGATGGGAGACCCAGCTCCAAGTCTCTGCTTTGCTTGATTTACGCAGCTTTGAAATTAGGTTTCTTAATTTCATGTGGGTTGTGACCATCACTATCAGAACATCTCTTTGTCTCTGAAATAGAGTCCTCCTTATGCAGGACAAGACAAAACCCTTAAGAAACATTGCAGGATGAGAAAATGTTACGGCTGATCTCCAAGAACTCACTCTCATACAGACAGAATGTATAGTTGCTACATACATCCTCTGGTGAGAATTACCTGTGTTTCTGTGCAGACTGCAGTCCTTCAGGTTTTCTTCCTCATTTCTATTTTCTCCCCTTAATTTTCAATGTTTGTGATTTATTCCAGTTCAGAGCGCCAATATCTTAAATAACCTTTGCACTATTTTTCCAAATACTTCATTCTTTTTGTAAGTACTTTGTAAATTGGGGAAGGATTCACCAGAGGATAACACACACATGGAACTGGTCTTCACACCCAGTTCAAGACCTTGCATATCTCATCTGGAGACTGGGGAGGGGCAGGGAACAGGTTGAAGAAACTGACTTAATTTGGTCTAGAAAGCTGTAGATGAAGAGTGTCTTAAGCCTTCCTAAACCTAAAAGGTTGTTATAAAGTGGGTGGTGGTGATTTTTTCTTCATAGCTAGTGAAGTATGCAAGTTAAGCTTGTTCTTAGTTCACAAAGATTTAATGTACACATTAGCAAAAATTTTGTTCAGTTGTGGAACTATAATTGTAACATCTTCATTAGGAACTTTTAAAAGCAAGTTAGAGAAACATGTATCAGTATATGTATATATCCACTGCTGAAATGGGGGTGTGGTTTAGTCTTCACTGGAAATTATGATCATGATCAGCAGCAGAGAAAAGATGGGGTGAGCAGCAGCAACATTAACACTCTGGGTTCCAGAGCCATGCCCTGTAGCTGAAGTGCAGTTCCACCCTGAGTGCTGACTTGGTTGGGTACAAGGCAGAACATTGCTAGCTTCTGAATGTGCTGCATTATTTAGATTTCCATATTAGTTTTGCTCCACATTCAAGAAAATAATACATTTTTTCCAACTTGTATGGCTCTGAGAAGTTGCTGTGGCTGTAGTACCTGTAGGGAATAATATTGCCACAGCTCATGGTCTGGATCCACGGGAAGCCCCACAGTCCACTGTTGCAAGCCTGTAGTCTGATTGTAGCAAGTCATCTTTTGTGCCTTAAAAAAAAATCCATTTCTTTAACGCAAATTCTAATAGTGTGATGTTATGCAGATGGCTCTTGGGAGTTGCTGCCTTTACTAAACCAATGAATACTGAGTTCTAGACTACCAGTATAAAGTATCTGGCTTTTCAAGAATGTAGAATGTCTGAAACCAGAAAGAGATACTATACAACCATAACTCCAACTGTAATAAGCTTCTTACCATTACTGTCATCTTATCATTGGTTTTATGCATGCAGATGAAATATCCCATTAGAATTATTCAAGCTTTCATCCATCTGTACAGTTGTAATACTTTATTCTGAAATCAGGTAATATCTAGTGTAAGACAAATGAGCAAATGAAATGTAAAATGTACTTTATTAAATAACTCAGGAAAAGGTAAGGGAAACTGTGAGATTATGAAAAACAATATTTGCATTTCCATAGAATTTTTATAACAGAGTGAATCAGTAAATAAGTATGTAAGTCTAGCAGCCAAAATATCCTCCCTTTCCCATGGAATTAATTTCGGTCCTCAAACTGTGCCTTGTTTTTTAAAAGATATGCTGCTAGAAATTCAATCGGATTTGGTGGTCTGTAAGAGGGGAAAACAAGAAGAGAAAAAGGAAAGAGTAACCTTTTATTATATGAAAGAATACCTGAAAAAACAAGAATCTTCACCAAAACAGATTTAATTATAAAAGCATTAAATTAAGAATTTGTTTTCATGCTCTTACATAAGCTCTAGACAGAAACTAGAAAAACTTTTACTCAAACTTTCTATCACTGAAACCATATATTGGCGTCTTATAGTTCAGGGTTAAATAAGGTAAGAGAAAAAACCTATAGTCTGTCAGTCTAAGCTTTGGAAGGGAAGGAGACCACGGTGGAAGTAGAGAGATGTAGTACCCCCACTTGATAAGTCTGCATTCGTGCCATCTCAGTATCTTCTGCCAAATATTTCTAACCAACACACAGGAAGTTGAAATTCTTGGATAAAAAGCACTGTAACATGCAAACAGTTAAGTCTCACTAGGTAAGTACTGCAGATTTTCTTTTTTCAGTCAAACTTACATGGATCATAAATCCTGGGAATCCAGCTTCTAACAGCTAGGAGAAAAACTGTCACAGTTCATGGAAGCATCTAAAATATTTTAATTACGGTCTACAACAGTGGATCCCAATCTTGGTGTTGCGACCCCATTTGACGGCAGCCCTGTTCCTCAGCACTGACTGGAGGAGGCCTCAGGGCAGAGGGAGTGAGGGAGAAAGGATGATGGGACGACTGCCATCTTGACTGTTAGCTGCCCATTGTGCCACCATACCCCTTGATGCCGATACGTAGAGAAGCCCTAGCAGGAGAAGAGGGGGTAGACGCCATCTTGTCTGGGGCCCTTCATGCTGCCCTGCCAGCCAGCGCCTTCCCCTCCTGGCAGTGAGGACCACTGGCTCCCACTGGAGAGCCAGAATTACATTTTTATTAAGGGTTTTTTTTGTTGATTTTGTGGGCAATGCTGGATTTCATGAAATCAAACCAATTAGGTCCCTAGATATCAGACTACTAGATCCTATCACCCTACACGTAACACACCAAGGAATAAGTTCTGCCCATTCAACAGACTAAACAGATACATATATACACACACACACTTTTTTTTTTTTTTTTTTTTT